CCCTTTAACTTGCTATGTTGGTAGTTATTCATTGAATGGCTTTCACAATTTTTTATTTACTATTTGGCAGTAATCAGCATGATGTTAGTTTGTTGTTTTATTTTAAACCACTAGAATATATTGCGTAAGTAACAGAAATACATCTTCACTGGAGAGAAAAAAAAACTGACAGAAGTCATTATTTCATATAAATCTCTCAACAGGAAGACCTTTGACAGGAAGTTCCATTGTTAGACTTTATGGTTCATGCCAGTAAGTTAGATTGTTCAGGGATATGCAATACAGTTTATGATATATATTTTACACATTAAGACATGCTGTTTGCATGTCCTTGGATCAAATGAGCCATATGCAAATTAAACTATCAGAAAATAATTTTTACTAACTCGTTTTGGAAAAACAAGCCAAACAATATGTACAGAAATACACTTACAAATGGATGTACAAGTGTCAGTGTTGTAAGAAACTGTAGTCTGCCCCGACCCAGATTCCACTCCACAATAGATGTTTGAACATGCTCAATTCTCAAAATGGCTTAATTATTATAGAGGAGAAGTCAACAATTATGTTGTTTCTGCACCATTTGGGATGATCGCATCCTGAGCAAATGGCAGCAAATGTGCCTCAGTTTAAATTTAGTTGGTTACCAAGGCAACATTTCTCATTTTCGTTTAGTTTGTTTAATATGTATGTTTTAATTCAGCTCTATTTTAATTAACAAAAATGTTTTTTAGTTTTAGTTAATAATAACTCTGCTGTCAATGCATTTATCTGTACTATTTGTTTTTCTGAGAGAAATTATTTTTCTGAGAGTTTAGCTTGTATTTAAACCAGAAGGTTTCCTTTAGCATTTACAGCATATAAGGTACTATATGTATGTTGTTCATAATTCCATTCTTATGCAAATTGTCATTGAATGCTTTTACGAATAATATACACTATTGAATTTAACTTGTGTTTCATGAATGAAGCCCATAAAATTACTTATCTTCCTTCATATTTCAGGGTTCTCACAGTCTTGTGTGATTTTGTTTGTGTGTGTCTCTCTATAACCCACAGGTCATGCATGCAGTTTGGCCTATAGCCTGTACTGTGTAGAGCCTATCGTGCTGCAGTGCAAGGAAGAGAAAAGGGCTGTGCTTCCTGACTCAAACACAGTCCTGCTGCTCCATGTTTCCTATGCTAACCCTTCTGAGCATGTTTTACTATATCTGTCTACGGCGGCGCTCCAGGAGCGGGACGCGGAGCGAGGCGTTGGGTAGCCGGCGGGCGGTGGAGCTGGGCCAGCGTTCGGCGCTGCCCATCACCGTTGAGGTCGAGCAGTATGGCAAAGAGGTCCTGGACTTCAGCTCTCACTATGGCAGTGAGAACAGCATGTCCTATACCATGTGGAATCTGGCGGGAGTGCCTAACGTCTATCCCAGCTCAGGAGACTTCACCCAGACGGCTGTGTTCCGCACTTACGGAAGCTGGTGGGAGCAGTGCACCAGCACTGCTTCCCCGTTCCGTCGTACGCCGCCCAATTTCCACAGCCTGGACTACCTGGAACTGGCCTTCGAGGAGCCCGTCTATCCCACAGCTGTGGAGGTGCTGGAGACCTACCACCCCGGGGCCGTTGTCAGGATCCTAGCATGTTCGCTCAACCCTTTCTCCCAGAATCCTCCAGCTGATGTGAGGTAAAATGTTAGGTGTGAGCGAATGTCCTGGATTTGTAATCAAAAGGTTGTAGGTTCTAATCCCACAAAATGTGATCCATGGCATTTAGCCCCAGGTTGCCCTGCCAGATACTATAAGCTAGAGAATTAATCTTTTATATGTTTATTTATTATTTTTAGGCTATGTAGTCCATTTATTAGTCATTAGTAGTCTATTAACAAGTATTAGCTTATCTAGTGTACATTAACCCAAATGAAAAACCCCACTCCAATAAAGCTTGTCCAGATATATTTTACTCATTAAATGTTCATGTGTTTTTGCTTATTTTAACAAAATCCATTAATTCATTGTAACGCATCAGTAGGACAATACAAATGTGTTCCTTAACTATGCAATTTAATAACCAATATTACTAAAATATAAATATTATAATATATTTTTTAAATACATAATAATATTAGATAAAGTGGGTATAGAAAAAAAATCACCATTTTGTTGCTTTGCAGCCCGAAATGAAGACGGACACAGTTATTGTTTTATCCAGCTGAAAGCTATATGTATTAGTTACATGTTACATGTATTTACTATAATAATAATTAATAAACAGTAAATTATGCGTAATTACAAGCAAATAACACTAAACCAAACCCTAACTCTAATTCTTTAATAAGTTAATTAATATTACTTAGTACATGTTAATGTAATTAATAATTACACTTCATGAAGGACACATTAAAATTATATTATATAAAATATAATATATATAAATGTTACTAAAATATTTTTCTGATTTTATATTTACTTAAAATATATGGTTGTTTTGTTAACCAAACTTTTTTACCTATTTTAAATAAACCATTTTAGTAAACCATTTCAACCAGAACTGTAGTCATGCACCAAATTGTGACCAAATTTCAGATTTCGAGATGTAACTTAATATTCAGTTAAGAATCGTAATCGAATAACAATATCGCAGATTGTTTTACAGAGTTGGATGCCATTGTTTGTGTTTTGAGTATTGTCATATTGTTGTATTTTTTGCAGGTGGGAGGTTCTGTGGGCCGGCAAGCCCAACAAAGCTCTGACCCCTCAAGCTCGCCAGTTCTCCCCCAGCATCAGGCAGATCAGTTTTGCCAGCAACCTGCTGCGTCTGGAGGTGAACAACACTCTGTTGGATTACTACACTGAGCTGGATGCAGTGATCCTGCGAGGCGTTCGGGAGAGACCCATTCTGGCCCTCTATAAGATCCCTGTCATAGACATCAACGATCTGAGTGACAGTGAAGAGGAGATCAGTGATGCAGGAGGCCTCTGCTGCAGGTCGGGTGGAGAAAACAGGCACAACCTGGGGAACGGCTACTTTGAAAGGCTCCCTTATGAGGTTAGCATTGGAAACTCTCACTGTAATTACCCATGATGCCTGTGAGTTTTGGAATGCTTAGGAATATGTAGTTTGTGTCACCTACATGATTAAAAAATAGTATGTAGGCCAGATAACAAAGATTGTTGTCAAGAATTGTGGATAACAGCACAAGTTGGACCATAGAATGTTGAAATCTTCTATGTACCAGACGGATATTGAAGAGGAATACTTGGGATTCGGTCTAGTTCCTCAAGTCCCAGCTTGTGTGGTTGTAGTAGGTCTTTTTCAGATAATTAGTGACCATTTTATTGTAATTTAAAAATACCTTTCCAATACGTAACCCCTCATTACCTGCATGCAGCTCAGATCTCTTGTCCAAACCACTGCCAACCTCACAGTCTCATTACAGCAAACACGAAACATAATCTGGCTATTATCTGATAACTGATATCCAGCTTCACACTCCTACTATTGTTCACTCTTCCCAACAGTGCATGTAGCAAAAAACATAATCAGTGCCTTCACAAACGTCTTGAGAGTAATCTTAGTATCTCTGTCTTTACAAGTAACGTACTTTGATACACAAGAAAAATATTTAGCATGCCATGTTTTGGTCTGAGGGTCGCTGTTTGTTTGTGCCACTTTAGCTAATCCAGCTGATTGTGAGTCATCTGCCTGTTCCGGACCTGTGCCGATTGGCTCAGAGCTGCAAGCTTTTTCACAAACACTGCTGTGACCCACTGCAGTACATCCAGCTCAGCCTGCAGCCGTACTGGGCCCAGCTCACAGACACCTCTCTGAGCCACCTGCAGAGCTGCTGCACCCTCCTGCAGAGACTAAACATGTCTTGGACGGGCAACCGTGGAGCCGTGACGGCCGCCGGATTCTGCAGGTAATGGCGAGAGTCTCTTATCTAGATATTTAAAGTGTTTTGATCTACCAAATGTGCTGTAATAGTCCCTCCATCTCTGTCTTTTTTCCTCAAGCTTTATGAAGGCCTGTGGACTGAGTCTGGTGTGTTTGGAGCTGTCGTGCTGTCATTTCCTGACTGAAGCGTGTTTAGAAGTGATCGCCCAGACGTGTCAGTGCCTCCAGGAGCTCAATTTGGCTTCCTGTGACCGTCTGCAACCTCAGGCCTTCAATCTCATCGCCAAACTCCCTAATCTACGCAGGCTTGTGCTGTACCGCACAAAAGTTGAGGTGAGAGCAAGACTGAGAAAATGCTAATGACTGATTTTCATGTAAAATTCTGATTCTCGTGTAAAAAGCATTTGGAAAATATAGGTTATTGATCAAAACTATTAATTTTTATGTATTTTTAATTTGTAATTACATTTCATTTGAATTTTCAAATTTTGAACAAAAATTTCAGTCATTATTACAGTTCCACAGTAATAGACAGGAAAATAATAATCTGTGATGCACATTTCCTCAAATATGAGACAAATTCAAATTCTGCTGTAAAGCAGCATATAAATAACAGACAATGGTGTCATTATTCAGCACAAATCAGTTCAGTGTTCATACATTTCAGTTCAATAAGTGTGAAAATTCATCAATTATGAAACAAGTTCAATTCGGCAATAGACCTTAGTCAGGTTTGAACTTTGCATAAATGAAAATGAGGCTGTGAGGGTGAGAATTACACACAATTTATAAAGGTCCTTGTTCATGTAATTATTACAATTCACAACTTTTAAAACTGTTTTGTGGAGTTTTTGTCTACTTAAAGTTTTTTTGTCATCGGCTGAACAGTCGGAACATTGTTAAACAACCGTACAGTCCATATTACGTACCTGTATGAATATATGGTCACGTTTTCAGTTGTGTAGTGTGGACAGAGAACGTTTCTGAAATGCAAGTGTAGACGAGGATCGTTTTCATTTTAAAACGCCGTGTGTAAACAGGGCCTAAATATGGTTCTACCCTGACAAAGGTTAATATGCAGCTTTATAGAAGGCAACAGTGTTGTTATGCAGATAGTCAGCCAAGATAATTTGCTTGTTTTCAGTTGTGGGGAGGGTCCATTATGAGGGACAGCCAATCACAACATTTTATTTTCCCGCTGCAGTACAACAAACATAAATACACGAGAAACGGAAACTGTCCTTCTTCTCAGTTCCATACGGATTAGATGAACCATGTGTTTCTGTACCCCATTGTATACTTCAGTAATTGTGTAATGTCTAAATTGTGTGATGTTCACTGTATTTCCTGGGTCACATCTTTATGACTGTATCCATGATTAAAGTGAATGGTTTGGGTGGTGATGATGGTTTTTAACATCAAAGCTGAAATTGCTAATTACTGATCCATGAAATGTTGTGTTCCCCCAAAGGTTGTGTGCTTTATCATGCATCACCTTTGTTTATTTTACCTTTGTTTTATACTACATCATTAAAAAAGCAAGTTATCTTGGGAGTTGAAGAAGAAAACATGCTTATGCCAGCCTATTTTAAGCTGTTATAGTTACCTGTCCTAATTATACAGCATCAGGCCTTGTAAGTCTTGCATACTGGCATTATCACCTTTAAATCAGTTCTTCATGCTGGTACAGGCCCAAGCATGCCACTAATCTAGGGTCGTCCCGTCCCTCTGTGTGTGGTTAACTGTGAATCAGCATTTGTAGTTGTATTGGTGCCACATCCAACAGGTATAATGTTTCTGTAGCTTTTCTGTAGTGATGGCGACTGCACATAAATATACACACGAACACACAGGCGGCAGGCTGTGTCTGTAGCAAACCCACCTCTCTGTCATCATAGCTGTAAATAAAATGTCTTCTAGGGAACCTAATGGTGTAAATAACAATGGAAATCTACACAGAGCTAGCTCAAAGAGAACTGTCAGTCTTCAGATGGTTGAGTGATTGTTTTTGAAGCCAACACAATAATGAAAACAATGACTGTATTCTCTTAGTGGTGCTCTCATGACACTTCAGCTTTTTAAAATCAAAACAAACCCATTTTTTTTCTGTGAAACATCATATCACTCTATCTCCGATGCAAGTGTCAACCATGTGCGCCAGACAGTGAGGTCATATAATAGTTTTATTTTGACACATCTATTTAGAAGAATATTGAATAGCGGAGTTATATGTGTTGTCATCTATAATTTGTGATATCAAATGTGCATTCCTTTGTCTCCTGTAACTCCACTAGCATCTGAATAGAAGGTTGTGTTATTCTCTCATTAGTGTTGTGTGTTAATCATCACTGTTTTCTCCATTTTATTTCTTTCCACATGCAGCAATCTGCCATATTGAGCATCCTCACATTCTGCCCAGAGCTCAGGCACCTTAACCTGGGAAGCTGTGTCATGGTGAGTCCACTGGACAGTGGAACTGATGTGTAGTTGGTTTGTGGCTAAATCCAAGTTTGCAAATGACAATGGTATCCATTAGAAACAATGGTCAACATAAAAAGGCTTTTGAAAATAATGTCTTAGCATTATGAGAATAAAGTCTTCCTTGTGTCTACCTGAAAGAGTGGGCATGACTATGTTTAACTTTGATAAATGTGCAAGGCTTCCGGTGTTAGTCGATTCTGGTTATTTTAGCTGTAAAAAAAACAGTCCGTTATGATGCTTTATATTGCGAAATGCAAATGGTATTTGTTATCATATTATTTTAATTACAGTTTAGGTTTACAGTTGGTTTACTTTATTATTATTATTCCCGAATGGGAGTCAATGGCAGCCCTGTGAAGGGAACATAGGAAAATAATGAAATTTGGTACACTTGTAGTTGTAGAGATGGCCATGAATAGTGATCTGACCAACTTTGGGGTCTCTAGGACCAACTCTATAGTGCCACCATATAACTTTTGAACCCTTTGATCTAGCAAAATGAAACTTAGTACACCTGATTTCTCTCATCATGCTGATCACATTCAACATCTTACATTAAAGTCTTCACCCATTACAGTAGCAGCCATTTTGTACAGTACATTTTTGCAGTTTTTTTCGCTACTCCTCCTTTAAATTTTGTCCAATTCTTATAAAAATTGGCTCATATGATCTTTGGACTGAGCCACACAGAAATGACTGAACAGATTTTTTTTTTATTCATCTTTGTTCAAAAGTTATGACATCACAAAATCAAGGAAGTCGGCCAAAAATTGGTTCAGAGGCTGTATCTCAGCCAAAGTTTGATCAATCGACACAAAACTTGCTGTGCTTCATCAAGACTATGGTCTGAGGATACATGCCTAATTTGGGAACAGCACCACCAATGGGTCATGAGATACGGAAAAAGGCTATTTTTGCTAATAACTTTTGAACGGTTTGTCAGAAAATCATGATGTTGGTGTTGATGGATTCCTTTTTGCCATGCTGAATCCATGGATACTGATTTTGAATTTTGTCATAAATTGCGATATCTTTTAAATGATTTGACATATCTGCACAAAATTTGGTTGGCTTCATCGTCAGCATGTCCTGAAGGTACCTGAGAAGTTTTAACACAGCGCCACTCTGTGTTCCAGAGATATAAAGTTTTTTTGCAAAACCGCTTTTAACTTTTGAAAACATTGTCCAACCTTGTCTGTTTTTTCTGTTATTACGTTCCTTGGTTTATGCCGATTCCGATGATATCTTATTTGTCATTTTCCATCAATATGCCTGTCCGCCATATTGAAATAAATGAAAAACTGTTTCGTTACTCCTCCTACAAAATTTGTCCTATTTTCTCCAAAATTGGCGCAGATGATCTTTGGACCGAGCCGCACAGAAATGACTGAACAGATTTTTGATATTCACTACCATTCCCGAGAAATACCTCTCTGACCATGCCAGAGTTTGTGGTGTTATGCTAATTAACTTAGCATGCTAATTGGTTAGATTAACCATAAGATGCATTAACATTGTCAGCTTAGCATGCTAATGTCAGTAACATGCTAAGTTATGCTTCTGTGTGTTTATTTTCACACTGAAAGCTCTCCTTAACAGCCTAAGTATTTCACATCAGCTGAGTGGCACAAGTTGTAAAGTGACATATCCTGGACCTTTCAGGTCTTGGGTTCGAGTCCTGTGTGGACCACGCCAAAACCGCAGACATTGTGCCTTTTTAAGAGATATCTTATTTGAATACAAAACGCTGTTCATTTATGTACAGATTTCACCTTCCCAGTAGCTCAACAAGATGAGTGACAGGCTCCAGACCCTGGGGTCATGGGTTTGAGTTCAGTGTGGGTCAACTTTTTGAAATTGTGTGTTATGTTGTGTGATTTCGATTTCTTTATTATCTGGGTAAGCATTGTACTTGTCTTTCTTTCTCTTTTTGTTCATTTTGAGTTCAATCTCACCTGTACTGCCGACATTCTCTTTATGTTGTTTTTGCTCTTCCGGCTTTGCACTGCTTTTGCTGCCTGTTCGGGGCTTGGCCCCATATCGCTGCTTGCAGCTATATTTTATTTTTGTAATCATAAACACACTGGTTTATACCACAAATAGTTTTACTGTTTAGTTCACTTTTTGATATTCTAGATTGTTACCTGTAGTGGCTAATGAATTGAAAGTCTTGCAGGAAAAAAGCTTACATCCACTTTAAAAATAAGGTGTACATTATGAATTTATTCTCATAATTGTATGACTTTAACCATATAATTTGACTTTACTCTTGTCATTTATTATTATATTTTAATCCCATAATGTTACACATTCATTCTCAAAACATGTATTTTTGAAATCTTGTTTTGAGAGTTTTAAAATCAATTTTGTTTTATTTTAATATGGCACTAAAATGCTATTGTCACATACTATCCATACTACACAGTATGCAAGATTAGGTTTAGTGAGTCTCTAATAGTAATAATAATAATAATAATACATTGAAAATAGTGTATCAAAGGGACTCAAATGGTGTACTATTTTTATTTTAAAGTAGACATCCATGCATGTTTATTGGGATATTATTGCACACAACCCCTGATACACAAGATTAGTTGCATCAGAGTGCAATTTTATGATGTTATATACTCTGAAAAATAAAGGTTCCAAAAGGGGTTTTTCGCAACATGCCATAGAAGAGCCATTTTAGGCTCCCCAAAGAACCTTTCAGTGAAAATTCTTAAATGAACCATTTTTTTCTTAGTGTAAAGAACATGTAAAAAATCTTAAGAACCTTTTTCCTTTTCAGTTTTCCATTCCAAAGTGGCCTAATCAATTTAAATTTACCCTAATTATTGTATTTGGTATGAGGTATGCAAATCAGTATGTTCCATTTCAGCTACAGGAACATTGGTTTGTCTGATTGTTCGTCTTCATACGGTCATAGAATAGCTTTTCAATTATCGATGAGTGGTTCACTGTAGCTACATGGTGATTTCATCACAGATTGAGGACTATGATGTGGTGGCGAGCATGCTGAGTGCACGCTGCCGTTCTCTACGCTCCCTCGACCTGTGGCGCTGCAGGAACCTAAGTGAGCGCGGTCTGGCAGAGCTGGTTTCAGGCTGCAGGCTCCTGGAAGAGCTGGACCTGGGTTGGTGCGCCACGCTTCAGAGCAGCTCCGGCTGCTTCCAGCACTTGGCCCGTAGTTTGCCCCGCCTACGAAAGCTCTTCCTCACCGCCAACCGCACCGTGTGCGACTCTGACCTGGAGGAGCTGGCTGCCAACTGCAGCGCTCTGGAGCACCTTGATATACTGGGTGGGATAATTTTTTTTTTTTTTTTTTTGAGCTAAGGTTTAAGGATTCAAACCTGAAAAACATTTTGGGTGAATTATCCCTTTAACTCTTTTTTTTATTGTTGTTTTTCAGGCACACGGATGGTGAGCCCTGTCTCTCTGCGGAAATTACTGCAGTGTTGTCCTCAGCTAAAACTGTTGGATGTGTCCTTCTGCTCGCAGATCGACTCTCGCTTCGTCCAGGAGCTCAGTGGACTTTTCCCAAATGTGTCCATCAAGAAGAGTTTCACTCAGTAAAACTCGATGGGTCCTGAGCAGGAGCAGCTTTACAGGATGGTCTTTAAGACCCTGGGGAGACGGGTGACGCATGGTGCTGTGAACTTGCTTCCTTGAACTGCACAAACTGAACTGCCGGTTTGAAGATGTTATAGATGTTTCACTCGCTTTTAGCTTGAATGGTCTCACTACCCAGACAGCATGCAGTGTCGGCCCAGATCCGGCCCACATCTGGCCCGCATGGATTTCACGCGGGCCATATGTGGGCCGAATCTGGGCCAACACTATGTTGCTGTCTGGGTATGTATTGAATCTCACACATTTCATCAGACCTCAGTTTTTTATCTTAATCTCAGGGTTATATTTTTGTCTTCAGAGAGAGACGTTTGTAGTATGCTATACTACAGGCGAATGGTTTCGTTTTAAACGCATTCAAGTGTTTCAGTACCACTGTTTTATTTGCTTTGTTAAATGTTGTCAAATCAATGTTAAATATCGTGAAATGGTGTACTATGACTATTTATTGATTGACTATAAATTCAGGATATTGACTTGAATCTTGGGCACAGAAATCTTTTGTGGCAATACCTTGTTTGTGTGAAACTTTGCCCATATCTTGAGTCAATCCTGTTATGCACATGTATATACACAATGGGCAAACACCAAAATATAAGCTTTTCTCTATTGCAAAACTTGACGTTTCCTTTTACAAAGGCACATGCTAATCGGTAGATGACATATCCTTGTGCCTTAGTTTTAAAGAGAGAAGTGCTTTGATTGTTTGCTGGTCGTCTATATTGTGCTATGCTAAATTGTGATTTGCTAAAATCACCCTAAACCAAAGGGTTTTTCTTTTTTCTTAATACACTTTCATTTTGAAAAACAGATGGCAATGTACTTTATTATTTAAAGGTGTACAACTATTCAAGTCAAAACTAGGATTAAGGATAAAATGTGCTTTTGGCAAAAGTTTTTTAAGTGCCATATTTAAAGAAAAAATGGTTTTCAATTTGACTTGTGCTTTACTAGCAGAATAATAAGCACACCCTGTAAACAAACTCTAAAGTTAATTAGACGCAACCTAACGTTAAATTGATTGTATTTATGTTAAATTGTACTGTAGCTACAGTGAATTATTTGTTGTCAGTTTGGATATTGTATTAAATTTGTGCTGTTTGGAAGCAGGAGGCATTATGTCAGATCTGAGAGTGACAGTCGAGGTCTTGGTTCAATAAAGTGAGGCTTAATATTTTGTGTGCTTGTCTTTTTTTTGTGATTGTTAGATTATAAAAGAATTGATCTTATCACTAGTGCTAAATCACACACATTATGTTTGGCAAGTGGTTGATCTATATTATCTCCACCCGTGAGATTCAATAATTTGGTCAAGCTGAAAGTCAAAAAACTTCCCTGGTCTTAATCCCTCCGAGTTTAACGGCATATTAATAATGCATCTGGCAGTGACAGTCTCATTGGACTAACAGTGATGTAATGAATTGTTTATGTCTACTTTAATGATGGACTGAGGAGCTCTAACGTGCCCTGAGGACCTGGAGGGATGCAGTTAATTAGACGAAACGATTTCTTGATTTCTATACAGAAAACTGTCATTACGCCCCTGTAAATAGATCAACAGCAGAAAGCATAATAATACTGTCTGCCTCTTCTTATAGACCCTGTAATTTAGAAGTGGCACTGCACTCCTGTTACAATGATTTTAGCATCAAAATGCATTTGGCCTTTTCTCTGTTTCATATACCTTTTGTAACAGAATCTAGTTTTAGGAGTCTTATTAACGCCTCACACGTTTCCTGACATAAGCAAGTTTTAAACAAAAGAAAGCCTAAAAATATATAAACATGTAATGCATAATTTTGCAGTTAGTTATTTTCAGAACATGAACACCATAAAAATAATGAATTTTCTCATATAAAAAGTTGACCCACCATAGGTTTTGATGCACTTTTCTAAGCCAAATAAAATTTTAAAGGGGTTTTGTTAATGCAATATCTACAGGTTGTGCACAACAGCTTACCTCTATATTCATATTAATTTCTAATTGTTCATTTGTATAATTATCAAAACAAGAAAATTTAAATACAATATACACAGTAATTGTTTGAGAGAAAAAAAAACCCTTCTTTAGGATTATTTAGAAAATGCAAGAGCATCATGCATAAGCTGCTTGATATAATTTAATATTAAACAAAATCATTTTATTTATAGTTAAAGTAGGCCTTCTGAAATTGAGTCTGCAATATATAAAGGTGTTTTTTAATGAAAGATAAGCTGGTGGACATTTAAAATATTGTATTCAAAATACAATTTCCAATGTGCATGTCTATTGTGTGTCTTATACCTCAGCAAAACTAATCATAGTTCAGAGAGAAAATTAAAAGTTCAGAAAATTCTCAAACGCTTCTGGTATTTTCAACCAAAGTAGCCTATGTTTTGGGGGGAAACCAGGATTAATTATGATTCATTATGATCCGTGGTATGTGTAACATTAAACTGTGCAAATTAACATGGAAGCATATTGAAATCAAAGAGCACCGAAGAATACCGCGGAATGCTGAGCTACTAGTCACCATGTGCTGCTGTTGTTACGTTTAATCAATGTTGCTTTAGGTGTCTTAGAATAAAACCTCACTAGATGGCACTAGAGGATAAGGATGACAGTTTAACACAATCACGGCATTAATAGCTCAATTCTTGACTTAAAACGTCCTGTTTTCCCAAACATGGAAACAATGTTATCACTTTAAAACTTTTTTAACTAGTCTAGTTGTAATTTATCTATAATTTGTCTATAATCTCTGAATGGGAAAGGGACTGGGATTTGCACGATTCACTTATTGCAAACCTTCCAAGCAAGCACCACGAAAAACATGTAAAAGCAACTCCAGAAATGAAATTCAGTTCACTATCATTAATCGACACAATTATGAAAGCTATTACGAAGACGACGTAATGTTTCACATTATCAGTAAAATAAACTTTTATGGTTTACTGTTGTCAAAATTATATGAAAATTTAACTGAAAACTGATTAACTACATTCATTGCAAAATAAATTAATGCCATAAAAGAAGACCTATTTGAGGCCCCCGTTTTAACGCCACAAACTAAGCGACACCTTAAATAATAGTAGGACTTCATCTATAACTGGTTCTTTACAAAATCTACGAAATTTAAATCGAACTAGTTTAGATGTTCTAAACAATGGCCGAACATTTTGCCTTTATTGTGCCTTTACCACAAAAAACAGGGCGCTGTGTTATAAACGCTGATATATATATATATACATATCATTTTTCTATTTCAGGGAAAATAAACAAAACTTCTTGGTTTGCATTTGTTGTGGATTACAAATTTAACGCTCTCAATTTATTTGAGATTGCGCTGCCATATCAAAACATTTAGTGTAGTTTTGCTCATTCTGTTTCACATTCTAAAATTTCGTTTCAAAACTTGACCGAGACGTCAATAAATACAAGCTTTGTCCACATATTTTTTACTCCCAACGACATAACATGTCCGGTTTGATTCTTCGATTTAGAAAAAAAACCCATCATATACTACAAAATCAAATTTCTATCACAACCTCTGCGCATTTTATTATACCCACAAAATTATCCAGTTCAACGTTTGATGGAGTCTTTCTGACAGAGTAAATAAACAACAAATAAATAGCTCCCACAGTATTTGTAGAATTACATGACAGTTTGATCAATTAATCTATGTAAATGTTTCTTTTGAACAAAAAAAAAAAGTAGAACGATAATAACAGATGTCCCTGGAATTTCTGTGGAATAGATTTACACCAAAATATGAATTAAAATATAAGCAAAATAATACAATAAGAAAATAAAAATAATAATTTCTGATTGTTGTATTGTATTTACACATAGTGACGTATAGCAAGACACTGGGAGAAATCTTCCCATTTTTCCAATCTTCCAGTGTTTACATTTTCAGTAAATCATCACTGCCTCGTGTCCCTATAAATGCGAACCGGAACCAACACAATGAAGAACTATAAAGCATAAAAAAACAAACAGAACAAAAACAGTTAAATCCAAAGTCTAAGTATCCTTTTACTGTATAGCTCTGATGTTGGGTAAACGTGGAGAATATTTAATAATAATAATAATAATAATAATAATAATAATAGTGCTCGTGTTTCAAATTGATATGCTTGATAAATGATGGAAATATAAAATACACAAAAACGCTTTGTCATATGAAACGATGAAGAATCGTTTGACTTTAAATGAAAATATTGCAGGTCACATCACTTGCTTTTCTCGTTCTCCACAATACTGTGTAAATAATCTCTATTTCAAAATAATTAAAAAAGACATTCAAATGTTTGAGATATATAATATTGAATTCGTTGGGTAGAAAATAGTGCTAACATTGTTGAAGACTGAACATTGTTTACTATACATAAACATATAGTAAAGTCAGCTCATAATTTATAAAAAAGCAGCTGAATGTGGGTTAAAAAGCAACTGACTTCCGTAGGAGATAGCAAGCAATATTCGGCTAACTGACTATAAATATAAAGGCAAAATATACCGAGACTCTAATGTTAAACAAATAAGACAAACATAAAATAAACAAAAAACTCTAAAAATCTTTTCCAAGTTCTAAATAATACGAAAAAGTGCTCAAGTGAGAGAATAACGTAGCTATGTCCTTTAAAAAGTATACAATATTTACAGCACTGTGTGGAGTCCTGTGAAACAATTGTATTTTATGGTAATATGACTAGATCGAAGGAAATGCCAGGTTTCTATCACTAGCCCTTCGGTGACGTGTCTGCAGCTCGATGCTGAAAGTTTCTTTTTATTTCTTTTCAATTTAGACCCATACGTATTGATAAAACCGAGAAAAAGACCAGAATCAATTGGGTGAGACTAATTTCTTGGCGCCAAGACTACAACATCTGTTTAGTGTGACCTTGCATCTCACTGTGTCTCCATGAGTAGGAGAATTTATACATAACCGTGCTGTATTTAAATAATAATAATAATAATAATAATAATGTTTAAAGGCCTTTTGATCCCAAGAAAATGGAAGAATACTGTGGGTGGATGCATGTCACACTAATGTTTTTTTTCTTCCCAATCGAATCGATGTTCACCCTCAGTCGCCCACAACAAAAGTAAAAATGGCGTGTACTTGTCAATGCTGCAGCACTAGTCACTTTTCAGTTTAATCTCGCAACAGAAAATGCAGTGAATGGGTCTAAGATGTAAACATCTGGCTATGGGACACCCATGCTCGCGTTTGAGTAGGACATTTTCGCTCGTCTCAAAGTGTTTGATAAATAGTAGGGTTACACCTTAAAACTGCGTCTTTTCACAGTGCTGGGTATTCACAGAACAACCGTTCTCTATGCTGGCGCGGGGAACGCACGGTCCCCTCTGTTGCAGCAGTACGAATTTTGAGTAACATTGAAGACGGATATAATCTGCTCTCCCGCCTCAGTAGTCTAAACCGCAGCTGCTTTCACTTTGGATAGCTCCAATGTGAACATAATCATAAATGAAGACTGAGGCAGTCAGTATGATATGTCCTTGTTTTTGTATTGTTTTTGTCTTTTCTCACTGAACTGGCGTCTGAACCCCGTGATGCGGCGGCGTGTCTCCGTATACGTCCTCGGTACCCGGTAGAGGTCCGCAGGGAGGAGTCATCCGTTTCTCTTTCTGTCTTCTGTTACAAAACCAAACCCTCACTACCTCTTTTTCCAACTGCAGACTGTCCGCCAGCGAAGTAATTTCCGACGCGGCTGGCTTTGGGCACTTAAGGAAATGGCTCTCCAAAGCCCCTTTGACGCTTACCTCGATGGAAGTCCTCTTTTTCCGTTTCCTCCCCTGCGCAGCTATCTTGTCCAAGCTCGTGGGGCTGCCAGATGTGGAGTCTGCCTCCTCCAACCACTTGTTCAACAAAGGCTTGAGCTTGCACATGTTTTTGAAGCTGAGTTGCAGGGCCTCAAACCTGCATATCGTGGTCTGCGAAAACACATTTCCATAGAGCGTTCCCAAAGCTAGTCCGACGTCCGCCTGCGTGAAGCCCAGCTTGATCCTCCGCTGCTTGAACTGTTTGGCGAACTGCTCCAAGTCGTCCGAGGTCGGCGTGTCCTCGTCCGAGTGGTCGTGGTGACTCTGGTGCGGCTGGTGCTGGTGCTGGGACGGTGGATGGCCGTGGTCGCTGAGATGCGGGCTGTGGTGGTCCTCGTGCGCGTCGCGCATGCTGTGGTGGTGGATGCCCTGGCCGCTGCCCGGGATGAGACCGTTCACGCTGAA